CTGCGCTTCAGCGCAATTGGGATCAACATCTCCTTTCGGCAACGCTTCTCTAGTATCCCGTCTCATCTGGATTAATTAGGTTCCGAGGTATAGCTACGATTATGGCTGACGATTATGCTACGGCGGGCCCCGCAATGACAAAAGCATTAGCGACGCAGCGTGGGTTCCGAAGAGTTAATTAGTATTGATTGTTTTTTCGCTAATTAGTTTTATTTATTGAGAAGGAGCTAATTTATCGATTCGGCCGACAGGCGGCACGCCGATAGACGTCCCGACTCGCGTGTTCATTAGATGTGCAGATTTTATCGATGAGAAACGCGAAGCGGGAAGCGAGAGCGAGAGAGCACGCGCCGAGTGTGTGTGCAAGCGAGCTCGCGTCTGCGGTCATGCACCGAGTGCCTCGGCGCGAACACAGCCGGAAGTACCGTATACGAGTACCTCGCGCAGCGAGCGAAACCCGAGCGCTCCCGGCGTTCGAAATGAGCGAGAAGCCTCCGCCCCCACCCTTCCCGCAACTAACGAGGTTTATGGGTCGTACGACAATCGAGCGTACGCGTAACAATAAGGAGAATCGTACACGAGAGCGGGTGTTGAGTGGGTGGGTGGGGTGGAGAAGGGGGGGGGAGGAGTAAAATTTTGCTCGACGCGCTTCGCATCGCGTCGTAACTCCTAACTACGTTACCTGCCGTGTTCGGTTTTCGTTATGATCACTCGTCCTCGGCTGGGCCGCGGCGGCGGTGCGGGGCATTTCTCTGCAATCGAGAGGCAATGGCTCGCTGATTCCTGTCTGAGTGGGCAGCATCAAGAGCCACTGCTCCAGAGCATGCTCAGCCCGCGTAATGATGCGCGCGTACAAAGCCATGCGTAATAAAACAAGAGCAAGGCGAACGGATGATAGAACGCGTGGAGATCGACGAGGGAAACGAAGAGCAGCAGAGAGGGCAGCCGGAAATCGGAGGGAAGAGGAAGAACGCAGAAAGGCAGAGAGAGAGAGAGAGAGAGAGAGACGGCGAGATGCGTGGTTATAGGGGGAGGCGGAGCGTTAACGAGACGGCGAGGGTGGCGGATATACATGTTCGCCGTTTTGCGTGTTGCGAAAATTCGTGTGTGAAATCATTGTGCAATACAATAGCCGCGAGCGTGATTTTTTTTCCTAGGTCAATCAAGAACATAGGGCTGTAATAAGCGCTGCTATTGGTTGAGCTTGTTTT